GTTTGATTTGGTTGCCTCTTATGACGACGTATCCTCTTCGCTCATGCAACAGTGTTGTTGCTGTCTATCTATTTTTGTGCCACATTTTTATGATGATGATGATGTCCTAACCGAATGGTGAACTTAAATCATCAGACGTCTCAGGGACACTAACTGGGCAAACGGCATCAGAGATACACTTATTTTGGAGTTAGTACGTGCATGTTCTTACTTTTAACATTGCCAGGCTAGCTTTCCCCTGACTCCAGCTACTAAATGTAAAGAAATTAGATTAATATCAATCCTCTTATCTTTTTTCAGGAAAGAAAGCGATCACACCATGCTGTACCCAAAGCAAATTCCAAAAAAGCATATTTTGAGATAGCATTTACACGTGTCATCATTATGGTCGACATAACCTCACACACAAAAGATAGATCATTGGGTTGATGATCTGAAAACTTGAGTCCATATACAGATTGTCACATACTGCCCGGTACACCACTTGTGGTTTGTGTGTGTGTGTGTGTGTGTTTCAACTCGATTTTCTCTCAGATGTATTGACAGCAGCGAGCGGAGATGGAGAGCTCGACATGTTTCTCAGAAAAGGCAGGAGACAGGGAGCCATCACTCTTCTCCTCTCACCACACCGTCCCCCCCCCCCTTCTCCCCCTCCTCCACCCACGACTCGCTCCTCTCCTGTGCTGAAGACGTAAGTGCCTTAGACAGATGTCTGCTGCCTCTTGTCTAAAACCCTCAACGCGAGCTGCTGAGCTCGGCAAACTCTAATTAAGATCAATATTTCAATTTTTTGTAAAAGCGCACGAGACGGAGGGAGAGAAATCATCTGTCCGCGTAGACTCGGAGAGACAAAGGGAAAGGTCAACTGTGATTCTTCCGTGTGAGTGTGTGTGTGTTGGAGCGACTTGATAAGAGCTGGTGTGTATGTGTTAAAAGTTCTCCTTTCTTTCCATCATGATTTGCCTTTTGAAATTCACTTTCTTTAAGAGATAAGTGCATTTTCTTACAACGCAGATCTTATTTACAGCATGTAGGACATCTCTCCTATTGGTCATGATAACATTGTACTCATCCAGAAGGAGAAATGCCTTAAAAACCAACATCAAATGGAAATATCACATCATTGATAAGTTCCTTAGATTTGCGAATATTGTTTTTTTTACACGTCTTTGGCCTTTCTAAGCAGCTACAGATCTCAGACCCCCTTTCCTCATGGCTCTTTTGCCATGAATCACGTGTCACAACTTTATTGTGCTAGCTTTAACCTTGTGCATCCTTTTGTTAATTATGTATACTCAAGCATAAGACAAGGTCAGAGCTTTTTAACTGACCACCAAAAAATTCCTAGACAGAAAACAACAATTGTACGTAATTTAATCTGAAAATAATCATGGATAATTCACATATCTGTATTATGTATAAACTTTACCTCAATAAAGCATATCGGACCTTACTGTCAGATTATTTTCTTCCCTGTCTTTCTTTTTTTTAAGATGGTGACCCACTTCATAATTGATGGGCTGATAATAGTTGAGTTGGGTGTGAAAACTGTTGTGACGAAGTTGGACTGATCCTGTTCCAGTCTGGCTCAGTTGGTGTTGACCATCAGGAGATGACATTATGTGTTGAAGGATTTTGTTGGTATTGCTGTTCCATTTCTTCTCTTCATCCTCTTCATCTTCAGCAAAGTGTTAGTAATCTTATAAACTCTTATGTAAAGCTAAGTTAACCCACATCGGCCAGGATGTTTCTGGAACCCCCGATAACCCCACAGTCACTCTTTCTGATTTGCTTCTAGCTTTCTTCAATTAGATGTCAGGCTTGTGCAGGCGCACTACTCATTCGATGTGTAACTAAATTAAATGGTAAGGTTTTAGTGTTAATCCATGTCACTGCAAAATACTGAAAATACAAGGTAAGTAAGACTTGGAATACATGGCAAAAGTTGAGGGTTAGCAAAAAGGTATTTTGATACAGTTTTGCTAATATTTGCTGCATTTATTGAAATTCACGAAGGCTTTTCTCTGTCTTGATTAATCATCCAATATTGAGCCATGCTATAAGAATTCACGATAGATACAAATGGTCATTTTGTGGGTAAAGTATTCCTTTTACATCATGTGTAATACCCAAACTGTGTGGAACACACGTTTGAGTTTAGAGCAACATTTTACCTGATCTCCATTTCTTTTCAGGCTCCCTGCAAATGTCACTTTTCCTTATAACTTGAAATGGAACTGCGTCATTGTTCTCCAGGTTTTAGCTACCATAACCTACAGATCGCCCAGTCTTTTGTTTGTCCAGTCTTTGTAGGTGTAATATAAAGCCTTTGGCCTGTCCACAGCTGATTATGGATGTCATCATGTTTCCAGGACCTTGGTGATTACAGGGTCAAAACTAAAACTACAAACCAGTGAAGTTTAGTTTTAATTTCCCTTTTTTTTTAGACCAGATTCTGTTTTCTCACTCCTTTGAGATCAAAAACATTCCATCACTCTGGTGAACAAACATGATTTCTATACAAGCGAGGCCTCGTACATGTGGTGAAACTCCTAATTTCTAAAGTAAGCCTCCCTGTTATCTTCCTGTCCGTGCACATGCATGCGTGCGTGTCACATCCCTGCACAATTAAAGCTGATTCCTCCACAGCGGCATTACTGACTTAATGCCAGTGACAAAACCTCCCAGGGCCTCAGATAACCCTGAGCCACCTCCTGAAGCTGGCCCTTTTTTCTGGTCCTGGATGCTAGTTACCTTTGGCTCAAAGCTCGCTGCCGGCCGGCTGAAAGCCCACCGACGATCCCCCACCTTGCTGATGTCCATTTTGCTTAAATCGGTAGAACTGCACTTGCAGCGAAGTCCCAATATGCAAAGGAACAATGAAAACCCTGACTTCCAAATTTATGTCTCAAGCCCTCGGCCGCAGACACTCCCCTTCCCCTGACAATGAATGGACCACAGCAGATCTTCTTAAAGGTGCCATTTCAATGCAGAGTGCTTAGCTTGGCGTTTGATGGCCAGCTCCTGCTTATTTGAGAAGAAATCTCTTCTAATGACTTAGCGCACCTAAACTTAAAATACCTTGATATGATTTCCATCCTCATACACTTCCTTTCATCCTCGCCAGCAGATTTGAGTATGGGGGGCAGGGGGTTGTATTTCATGGCCATTTCGGACTGGAAGTTAAGCTCAGCAGTTGTGTAAGGTTTTCCTGTTAAACCAAGTTAAACTTACTGCCACCTGTTTTTTTAATTATTATTCTCGCAGATAAGGCACTTTATTCCGCAGATATATCACTCACATGTTAGTGGTTTGATGGGACTCCTGAGGGCGAATGCTGCTGAAAAGGCTAAACGGGTCAGGTGCAGCGGTGTCTGGGTTTAAGTCCCTTGATACCATACACTTCCTGCTCCCAGAAGCCTCTCTGTCTCTTGTTTCGGGATAAAGGAAGCAAGTGTCCAGAATGGAGACGCACGTGGATGGGCTTAATTATCCGTCGATCCGTGGAGATGAGACGGGATGCAATTTGTGGTTAATTGCGAATGAAAACGCTGTCGACCACCGCCAGGACTATCCAATCATACTTAACCCGCGCGCAGCAAGCGCGAGGCCTCGCGGAAATGCGGATTGATTTTTTTGGCAGACGAGCGTGCGGCCTTAAATCGATCCATATGGATTGATCTGGTAGTTTGTGGTGTCAGAAGCGTCCTTTCAGAGACCTAAATGAGTAAAGCAGATACATTAAGCTGTTTTTAATAAAGCTTATAAGGCAGAGTGTGTTTACCTTTTGCCTTACTTAAACGCTGTGGTGTAATTTTTGAACAAGTTTTAAAACATATATTTGGATTTATTTGGAGAGTTATTTTCAACGTGTAAGAACACATTGACAACCATCAGTCATATTGTTTCAATGTGTCAGCATAGATGTCAATTCACTGGCTAATGATTTAATTTAACCTCGAGGATATCCTTTTCAGGGGTCAACAATTTGATTTGATTTATGTTTCCTTTCATACAATAAAGATCTCATAAGCCGACACATAAGTGAACACACATATGAAGATTGCTGTCATTAAAATGTTTCAAATATAGTTTTACAAGTTGAAATTGTTTCATGTCGCATGGTAATACAAACTCTTAAGAGGCTGACATAGATGCAATCAAGTCCCTATAATGAATTACTTGATGTATTCACAAATACTATGAATTAACAACATCTACGTCCTTTTCATTCCTTGTGAAATCTAAACGCATGTTGACAGACTCGTTACATAACTGACACAACATTTAGAACTGTTAAAACTGAGTTCCAAGTAAACATTTTTCTCTTAGAAACTCCCGGTTCTCTTATCTTACTCCGCGCTCGGTGCAGTAGCCTGCGCTCGGTCACTAGAGGGGGGGATCTGCTGCTGCACCTGTTCTCCCTGCGCGCCCGGCACACTTCGGCTCCTCTCGGCTCTACTCGGCTGCCGGTGGAGTCTTCTGCTATAGGAGAATGCAAACGCGCTGCTGAGATCTCCTCCCATTGGCCCGTCGCACCTCAGTGTGGGAGGGTCGCGGGCCACGCTGTCTCTATAAGAGCAGAGAGTGCCTTCCAGCATCTCAGTGACACTGCTGGCTGCACCGTGACGCTCTTAGAAAACAAGTTGAGAGAGAGAAAACCTACTGGAATTTATCACCTCTTGCATAATATTACACACAGTCAACACGTAAGGTCAGCAGCGCGCCCCTGTAAGGAGGGACAGCACCGTGGGGACCGAGGCTGTGTTGAATAAAACATTTCTGGACGGACCACAACAAACCGGAGCAGATTATCCTTTACTTCAGAGAAGGAGCCCATGCCTGCAACTACTGCTTAATAGTACATGCATATTAACTTTGAGTGCACGTGGCATTGCATATTGTATTCCTTGGGACTTTTTTTGGCACAACTTTTACGCACGTTTGCAGCGCCTGTCTTGCACAGATCTGAGTGCTTGAGAAACTTTTAATCCTGGCCATGCTGCAGTGACTTCTCACTGGGACTTCATTATATAAATTGTAATCAGCGGTGGGCGAAAGAGGATGCTTTGAAAATATTTATAATACACCCCAACAGCAGGAGAAGACGAAGAAGTCTTCTCGTGTCACCTGATCGAGCAGCAGCGAGGACAGTAAATCATCGGGAAGCAAGTGGGCTGCAGAGGTGAAGCGAGGACAAGACAGGTTGGTGTTTCCAAATTCACCGGGCTCCAGTTTCAGCCGCCCCGGGGCTCCTGGTATTAAAGCGCGCATTTGACCTGGGATAAGTTGTCAACAAGAGCAGCGAGCGGAGGCGAACTGGCAGGTGTACAAGTTCATTTACATGCATACGTATATTCACGCCACTATATATAGAAGTTGTCTTAGGGACGAGCAGCTTTAATAAGTTCCTCCACCCACCCGCCGGCCCTGCAGCAACTCTGTGCACCGAGTGTGTGCGCGTGTCTATATATATATATATATATATATACCATACAGGCTGTTATTCCTCCTTGCTATCTGTAACCGGGAGGGCTGCCCGCCGTCGGTTTGGCTGTGAGGAGTCGTCGCATGGACAGACATGGCTACTGACCTCGCCATGAGCGCAGAGCTTCCTAACAGCCCTTTGGCTATCGAGTATGTCAATGACTTTGACCTTATGAAGTTTGAGGTGAAGAAGGAGCCGCCGGAGGCCGACCGCTACTGCCACCGCCTCCCGTCGGGCTCTCTGTCCTCCACCCCGATCAGCACGCCGTGCTCCTCTGTGCCTTCCTCGCCGAGCTTCTGCGCTCCGAGCCCGGGCGCGCCGCCCAACCAGAGCCTCACCAGCGGGGTCAACAGCAGCAGCGGCAGCAGCAGCAACAACAGCAGCGGCAATAACAATCACAGCAACGCGGGAAAGCCTCAGCTGGACGACCTGTACTGGATCCCCAGCTACCAGCACCACATCAACCCCGAGGCACTCAACCTGACCCCGGAGGACGCAGTGGAGGCCCTCATCGGCAACGCCCACCACCATCACCATCACCACCCGGCCTACGAGGGCTTCCGCGGGCAGCAGTACGTAGGGGAGGACCTGTCCACGGCCTCGGTGGGTCACCATCACCAGGGCCACCACCACCATCACCACCACCACGGCCATCACGCGCGCCTGGAGGACCGCTTCTCTGACGAGCAGCTGGTCAGCATGACGGTGCGGGAGCTCAACCGGCAGCTGCGGGGCTTCAGCAAGGAGGAGGTGATCCGCCTGAAGCAGAAGAGGCGCACCCTGAAGAACCGGGGCTACGCGCAGTCCTGCCGCTTCAAGCGCGTCCAGCAGAGGCACATGCTAGAGTCCGAGAAGTGCACGCTGCTGAGCCAGGTGGAGCAGCTGAAGCAGGACGTGGTGCGCCTTGCCAAGGAAAGGGATCTTTACAAGGAGAAGTACGAGAAGCTGGCCAGTCGGACCTACACGGCCGGTGGGAACACGAGAGATCCGTCCGGGAAACAGGCCAACACAGAGTTCTTCATGTAAGAAACGCAGACTGAGCACCCCACTTAAAAAAGAACCTTTTATTTATATTTGTTCTGCGTTTGTATTTTGCTTACAGTTATTCCCTCGAAGAAAAACACAAGTAAACAAATACGCATTAGATGTGCACAAAAGTAATCCTTGTGCGCATTTTTTAGTCTTAAAGATGTTTTGGCTGAACTTCTGTAAACTCGCTGCAACCTGTCAGCTGGGCACATGGGATCACTTAGCCTGTAGACTGTTTTTTCCTCTGGTGCAACAAAACTTGGTCTTATTGAACCATTGTGACATTTAACATGACTGTCTTAATTCAGAGAGAATGCTTTTGTCTTAAAAGTGAGGGGAACGGTGCATTTTTTTAAAGAGAGATTGGACTGAAGTAGAAGCAGAAAAAGCAATACACCGCCTATCTTTGGCTCCAGAAAGCTCAACAGACTGTTTTTTGTGAAAGTGAGGCGGAGAAGAGACATTTCAATATTGCAAGTCTATAGTTTCCCATCCCTTATTGCAACCCTGCATGCAGGACATGTATGGTAACCTCCAGTCATCTCCCAGAATCCTTCCACACGTATGGAAAGCATGGCCCATGGTACGCTTCTCCTCCTCCCTCCTCCCTCCTCCTCCTCTGCCACCAATAAGGCCTGGGTATGAAAAAAGGCACCTTTCCCCCCCTGGAAAGGTGCAAGGACTGCGGACAAAAATGCATAAACAATCTGCTAACTGCGAGAAAAAAACATGGATGCGTCTTCAACTGCTATTTTCAATCAATTTTTCTATTGTTTTAAAATGAAAAGAAAAACGACAAAAAGAGATTAACTGAGACAGATTTTAGACTGTATTTATTTCCACCTGTACATAATGTGTAGAGAAAAAAAAACAGTTACCTGTGTTATACCTTTTTCTCCTTTTTAAAGCTTTTGTTGCTTGGATTCTTCGAAATGTCTTAATACAAATGTTTGTATGTTACAGCATGCAAATCGTATATGGTATCCTCCTCCTACTGAACATGTGTAATGTCAAAGGCAAGCCTATACTGCACTAAGAAGAGATCAAACTTGACAAGCGTTTTGTTTTCTACTCATAGGACCTTTGATCTGTTAAAAAACCCGGATGTAAATTTGATAAAGGTTCATTTATTAGATGGACAAGGACTGCATTCGCTGCTAAAACTCTATGCACCAACCTGATGATGAAAAATATTAGTTGAATGATTTTTTTTTTTTTTTACTTTCGATATTTGTAGAATTTGTTAAGGGCCTGCGGGTTTATTCTGCAGCCCGGTATCTTAACAAGAGCTTGTGTCTGATAGGAGGATGCTTGCTGGTTTGAGAAGAGGAGAGACTTTGCCTGTTGGTAGAGCTTACTGTTCTTGGAGATGCATTATTCTGTCAATAAGACGTGTGTGTTCTGCTGCCTAGATATATGTGCAATATTGTGCAGAAGTGTCCGATGATTGGACTACCTGTTGGGTGGCGAGCACTTACAGGAAGACAGGCTGGAAATTGTAGATCAAAAGGCCACAGTTGAAAATGGTAAATACATATGAGATGTGTTTTATTGCTCTCCAAATATTCGATCTTTTACGTACAGTAAAAGAACAAAAATTATCACAACGAATCTTGTAACAAATTAATTTTTGAAAACAATTAGGTACCAACAATTATTTATTCAGTTACTTATTGTATTTATTTTTTAATTCGTTTTATATGTCGTCAACGTTTTGCAATTATTTACAGCCTAAAAATTTGATTTTAAAGAACTATGAGCAAACTTCTGCACAGTGCTGTTTATGTATATCTGTACATATAATTTCTATATTTATTCAATGAACGTGTCCTAACGTGTCAACAAGTGAAAAACCTACCAAGTGGAGCGTTGTTGAGAATCTTGTTTTCATAATGTTTAATAAAAAGTTCTGTCCCAAATCTGTCAGCCTGCTGTTGCCCTCATTGTTGAAGAAAAGGTTTTTATTTTGAAAACAACAAACAAAAAGGCTTCCTGCCATGCACTAAATTATTAAAAGCATTGGCTTTATGTAAGATTGTCACGAATTCGTTTCTTATTCAAGGCCCGCCGAGTTTCGTTGCAGCTCTAAGAATGTATATTTTAAAAACACCCTAAAACCCCATTAGATAGCATTTTATGAATGTATAATGTTTACTATTATTGTACGTAAATACGTTTGTTCATATAAGAGAAAGAGAAAAACTAAATCAAGTTTAACGCAGTGACTGGAGTTTAAACTGCATCAACGGACATGTTGATGGTGTATAAAATATATTTATGTAGGCTAATTGAAGAATTGTAAAATAATCTATAATATTATTATTGAGGCCTAATTATTATAGGCTAGCATAATTATTAATATGTCATATAAAATTGATTGCGTTATGATAGTATAACATAATCTGAAACGACAGTTGACGAGTGTGTCAAAGATAATGATGAAAAGATTTTGAAAGAATATCAATTTTGTTGTTTTTATTATTATTACAAGGCCTATTATTATTATTCAAGACGAAAACATATACACAATAATTGATGCTCGTTTGTCTCTTAATTAGTGATTTCCTTAATTTATTTTTCGGTGTTCCATCTGCTATATTTTATTCTTCATCTGTCTTTCGGCCGTAATTTGTCTGTGAGAGGCTCCACCAGCCACCCGGCTCCTCCGTTCCGCTGCCCGGGCTGCGGACGCGTGTCAGCGGATCCCTCTACTCCCATCAGCCGGTGATGGATGGATGGAGCTGGCCTGTATGCCATCATGCACGGAACAACAAGGTAGATGAGCTAAACTCTCACACTGCATGTTTGAGCGAGTCACTGCATGACACCCTCGATGTCCACTTTGTGTTCGCGCGCTTGTGGACGCGCACTAAACTGCTTTAAGCGTTCTCTCCTTCCTCCTCTCCGGGTGGCGGGTTGACACAGATGCCACCCCGCGTTGCTGCTGATTTGACACTGCCGTCCGACCCGGAGGATGGCGGCTCACTTCAAACACCATAACTCACCGTGATTCAGTGTGTGACAGTGTGTGTGTGTGCTGCAGGGTCATGCAAGTGAAGGAGAGTATCCGGTGAGATGTCAATAAGGAAGTGAGATATCTGCACAGCGATATAATTTGTGTGAATTTAAGCCTGTTTATGCATATCTTGATATTTAAAACTTAAATATACTTGATGTAAGGCTGTCACAAAAATGTGTCAAATGAGAGAAATTCCAAACATTTTCTTGCAGGCTGTCAGATTTGCTCAAAATAGACCCCAACAACTATCTTATTTGATTAGATTTAGTTGTATTGAAAGTATTTGTATTATGATGCTTTTAATAGACAGTTGCATTTTTGTCTTTCCAAAAAAATATTAAAAAGTCCTATCTTTAAATATGTGTCCCTGCAACACGTAATTTTGAAGATTTCAGTCCTATAACAAAATAATTTGTCTGTACAGATATTAATCCTTTATCCAAACACTGCGTCACTTCCATTCACATGCACTCATTTTCATTTTTTCATTTAGTCGTTTATTTGAATATAGGGACAATGCACATTAATAAACACTTTAGAAAAATAATGCTTCAAGTGTAAATATGCCGGTTTTTAGCTTTGAGCTAATTTCCATCCGTAGTCCCTGACATACAACATATAAGTTGTATGTCAGGGACCTTTATTTATACTCTATGCAAAGCGCCTTGCCATACCAATACAAGCTGTTCAATTCCCTTAAAGTTAGACTACATAACGTTAATATCACCAACTTTCCGAAACTGATTAAATTGCTGAGTGATGCAATCTTTATTAGGTGCAAAACACTCTCCTTTCAACTTTCACATTTTAATTTTCTCTTAATATCTCTCCTCTTTCTCCCTCCTTTCTGCCTCTCCATCACTCTCCTCCTCTTCCTGTTTTTGCCGACTCAGAGGAAACATTGAGCAGTGTGACAGCCATCACCTCACTGGGAGTCAGGGTGTGTGTGTGCATATAACACACACATAGAGAGAGGGATTGAGATAGCATGTAGGGGAATGAAGGACCAGGCATGTGCTGTGTGTGAGACAGAGAGAAAGAGATCACCGTGACTACGCTGTGTGCTTTTCTATCCATAAATCAGGGCAGAGTCCATCCGAGAGACAAAACAAGTGAAGATGCGAAAAGGATGGAGAGAGTGAGTGGGGGTGGGATAACGTTCAGAGAGAGCGGTGCAGTGTGTCTCTGGCGTCTGGAGCTGCAGCTGCTGAGATTCAACACAGTCAGCGTCTCTTCGGCTCAGCTTACAGTATACACGCACACACACACATAGAGACACACACACAGTCCAGACAAACACTGTGGAAGCAGCTCACTGCTGATATAGACTCACATCCTTTTAATAAGAGTGATAATAACCTCAGCCTCCTCCTCTACCTGTTGTTGTTGTTGTTGTTGTTTTTATTATAACGGACAGGGCAAAGCAGGCAACTCCCTCTGAGGTTACATCCCCAAACAAATTAGGTTCACTATTTGACAATTAGGGGATTTGTACCACCTACGTGCAATTCATTCAGGTCCCATATGAAGTTGTGGTCATAGACAGATTATGAGAGAATTGGTTTCTTGGGCACAAACTAGTAGGAAGGCCCCCACCCTCGGTAATAGCCAAACTGAAGAAGTAATTTCATTTTTGTCAAATGTGTCGCTTTGCATTTTTTTTTTTTTCATACCTCTTTTAGTCTTTCTTTCATTACTGTGATACTGTTTTCCATCTGTTTCTAGTTGTTTTGTGTGATCGTAGTGTGATTGTCTGTGATCGTTATGTGCTGGTTTTGCATCTTTTTGAAGTCATTTTGTGTCTCTTTAGCTTTGGTTCTCGTTGTGGTAAATTGTACTGACCTTTTAGTCGTTTTTGGTTGGATGGTGGTCTGTTTGTGATCAATTTGTGTTCTCAATTCAGCAACTCGTTGTTATATAGGCCCTTTGACCCCTAGTGCCCCTGGGCCTTTCCCCCGTGGATAAGTTGGTAAATTAGAGCCACTTTGTTGTTTTCTTGATTTGCTCTAGTTCCAGTCTGTAGGGTTCACTTAAACAAAAGGTATTTGTCTTTATATACAGTAAATCCAGTAATACAATTATGCAGACCAAAAAAGAAAATCTGTTTGGTGTTGCCTTGTAAATCTATGATGTAGCATCTTACTTGTCCACTACTTAGAAGAACATTGCAAAACATATTAATGTCCACCTACCTTTAACATATATTCATTTGTTTGGAACTGAAATGTTAAAGGTCCCATGTCATCCTTTTCTGGTTATTACCCGTCCCCTTGTGTGTTATGTAGCTTTTTCTGCATGTAAACGGTCTGCAGAGTCACAAACCCTCAAAGTACACCCTGTAGCGAGTAAAACTCTAACACAGAAAAGACCTGTCTATGCTGCCCCAGAACGCCTCGTTGGAGATTTCTCTTTTTCCATTTTTTTCTTCCTGGTCATAGTGACGTAACGATACCAGGTCCAAATGGACCAATCCGTGGAGCTCCTCACACACACACACTCACTCACTCAGCCTTGTCTTTTCTCAGCCGCGGTACTCCGCGGAGCTTCGCCGGCACGCAGACTCAGCCTTATCTTTTCTCAGCCGCGGCTCCGTGGATCTCCTGTGCGCAGGCTGAGTTCCGCGGTGTCTCGCTGTCTCGCAGACCCCACGCAGCAACCAGGAAACGACACCAGTAATACAGCTCACACTGTCCGCTCCTCGAGCCTCAAAGGGCGGAGCAGCGAGCCCTGCAACGTCCAGCCAACACGGCACCCAGACCACGCGCAGCATTCTCATCTGTTTGTCATTACTGGTGTCAATTTTCTGGTTGCTAACAAACGCCATTGTAACACATAATCACTGATGTTCCGCTGTAACGGTGGTGGATTCATCAGAACAGAGTGGGCGAGCTGACCAAGCAGAGCACAGTGGGCTCACAGGGAGTGGGGGGCAGGAGCTCCAACAAGCCGTGTAGGACAGAGAGCGAATACACATACTATACAGAGATGCTGTATGAGAAACCAATGTGAGTTTGGAACATTGCACAATGTACATCTATTCTAGCAGACCTCAACAATAGAATTATGATCATTAGAAATGGGCATGTCATGGGACCTTTAAGAGACTCAGTACATTGAAAGTAGTAGTAGTAGTAGTAGGCCTAGTAAAGACCCAGCAATAGTTTCAATGTTACAAAGTGGGGGCAAATGTACAGCAAACATGTTACCAGTACAAACATTAAATGAGAGTGTAAAGTACAATATTGCATGACTGTCAGATCTTAATCTAGGTGTTACAATGGCTCAAATATGCTTATTCTATGAGCCAATGGAGGTCACAAGGTGCTCTGCCTATGACCTGCCCGTTCAGTGAATACCAACTATAGGTAAAGGTGATCATCAGAGGCCCCTAGCAACTTAATCTGTTGTTTTCCTCTCCCAGTCTGCATCTCGAGAAATGTTTGATCCAAAATTCAGATGATCAAAACGGTCCCATTAAGAACAAGGAGATGAAAGTGATAGATGCTCTTATTTTGAATAATTAGTCATAAACAACATCTCCCTGCCAGGCCTTTGTATTAAGCAGAAACTGCTTCATACAGTGGATGTGTTTTTTTTGGTGCTCCATTTAGGCCCGCTCCCCAGGGAGGAGTTCAGCTTCAAAAAGTTGTCAACCTGCGCAAAATGTAATCGACATTTTTGATAAATCACCTACGTGCTGGTAACGCTCACGGGGTATTAATAATTATTACTCCTGATCTGGTGATTGAGTTAGTGACCCGGGGGCCAGGAGCCCTCCCCCCTGGAGCAGAGAGCTGGGAGGGGGGGGGCTCCACACTGCCGGCCCTACCCAACGCACCCAGGAAAGCAATTTGGCACCGGTGACGCCGTACTGCTGCTGCGACC